GGCTCGGGCTGGGGATTCGAACCCACCACCTTAGGTGTATGTGGCTGGCGCCTTAGCCGCTTGAGCCACAGGCGCCGAGCCTAATCATGGATTTTTGAGAGGTCAGGTTTTATCAACAATTTTAAAAGTAGCTGTTATTTTGGCAAGTTCATCTAGGCACCGTAATGCCAAATTAGTAAATAAATCATATTTTAAAACATTGCATCCTGTAGCCAGGTACTGTGGCGGGAGCCTGTACTCCCAGCTACTTGGGAGGCTGAGGCAAGAGAATCGCTTAAGCCCAGGAGTCTCAGGTTGCTGTGAGCTGTGATGCCATAGCACTCTACCCACTCTACCAAGGGTGATACAGTGAGACTCTGTCTCAAAAAAAAAAATTGCATCCTGGACACCTTCTACAAGTTACCTAAGCATAGCTTTATATATGACCCTAAAGAATGGACTGTACCTTTACCTTTTCTTATTTTGACATTGATTCTGTCTTTAAATCAGGGAAGGAGCTGCTGTGTTTTGGAATGTGAAAGACAAAACTGTAAGTATAAATAAAACATAAAAGTGTAGGTTTATGAGAATGAATTGTTAATTGTCACTCAGTATTCTGAGCTCTTAGGAGAAAAATTAACAACTAACGCACAACTTATTTGCTCTGCATTAGGTGATATTGATCTTACTAGTTTCATCTTCCAAAATGTATTTTCGCTTATTTTAGTTTCTGGCATTTTCCTTTCTTTAGACACACACTAGTTTGTGGGGAATCAGAATCATCCCAGCCATAATACAGACAGAAGCACAGTATACTCTGTGTGTGGCTTTATACAAAATGAGTATGTTTGTGCAATTAGTTGGAAGCTAGTTTTGTTGAGTCTTATTTCAGATCAAGTTTTCTACTTATCACCCATGGGAAATAAATTGTTCAGTATCCAAATAAACAGTTGTTTAATACAACTATGTTAGAGGTGATCTGGTAATCCACATCAAAGTTTTACATTTAACCCAGCAATTTTATACCTAGAAATTTATCCGAAAGGTATAATCCCAATTATACATGATGGATTATGTACAGAAATGTTCATCAAAGCATTATTTATAACAAAAATTAGAAATGACCAAAACACAATAATAGAACATTTGTTAAGCATATCCATAGGATAAAATACACTAAACCTCTTAAAAATCATGTGGAAAAATATCCATTCCTGGGAAATTGCCTATGTCTAGGATAGAGTTAAATTAATAGGGGTTATAAAAATACAGCCAAAATAGTATCAGAGCTTCATACAATCCTAGTTTTACTAAAAGGAGATTTGTACAAACATGCAAACAGATACACGCACACAGGTGGGAAGAAGGATCTGGAACAAAAGAAATGACCAATTACTATAAGAAAATACAAATTGGCTATTTGACGTTGTAAAGATGTAAACAGCTGATAATAAATACCCTGGGCTCTTTATGAGAGTACTCTCAGAAATGTTTAGGTTCTAATGTTGGAAAAACTATTTTGGAAAGCAGGTTAGCAGTATTTATCAAAATGAAAAGCATGTACATCTTTTGATCTAGCACAACGGTTCTCAACCTGGGGGTTGCGACAGTAACCCGCTGTATTAAAGGGCCACGGCATTAGGAAGTTTGAGAACCACTGATCTAGCAGTTTCTAAAGGAGTATTTCCACAAAGCTGTGAAGATACATTCATAATATGGCACAGGGCAACACTGTTATAATGGAGAGTAGAAATAATCCCCCACACATGTGCAGTTAGAATGGGTAAATAAGTTGCAGCTTCTATTAAAGAGAATAGCATTGAAAATGTTCATATGCATGATATGATCCCCTTTCTCCTAAAAAGTAAAATGTGTACACGTACGGGGAGCAGTCGGGAAAGCTGTCCACCAGATTTAATCATGGTCACCTCTGGGAATTTGGATTTCAGGAGAGAAAGATGGTCACTTCCTACATTCTGTGGTGCTTAAATTTTAACAAATACGTTGGGCTTTGCCTTTTTAAAAAAAAAAGAATTTAAAGAATACAAACCATAATGTTACTAGTGACCTTCTCTGGGATAGTCTTAATTTTCTTCTTATGCTCATCTGTGTTTTCCAAATGTAGAAATGAATGAACACGCCATCCTGATTAGCTTAATAGCACAATGAATTTGCCTCTTCCTTAAAAATATGCAACAGAGGGTGGCACCTGTGGCTCAAGGAGTAGGGCGCCGGCCCCATATACCAGAGGTGGCCGCCAAAAACTGCAAAAAAAAAAAAAATGCAACAGAATACATGCCTTTATGCGTAATGAAGAATGTTATAATAATTAGCACCATAAGGTGTTTGTCCTGAGGGGTCAGTTATAATTTCAAGTTAACCTTCCTCTTCTCCTAGGTGAAGCATGTGATGCAAGTTCTCGAAAAACATGAAATTCAGCCCTATGAAATTGCATTGGTACACTGGGAAAATGAGGAGCTTAACTACATAAAAACAGAGTAAGCAGCTTCTTATCATATTTAGAAAGGACACTTGTAATAAACTAGGTAAAGCAGTAGAGGAGGTACCTTATTATGAAGATGGAAACTTCTTCCCTGTGCACACACACACACACGCAGAGCCTTACAGTCTGTGAGGATAAAATCCTCACCATCCTCATCTCTTTGGGTCCCAGAGTTAGCTATTTTGTTTTATGCAAAAGACCATCCTAGCTGGCTTCGTGCCTGTAGCTCAGTGAGTAGGGTGCCAACCACGTACATCGGAGGTGGTGGGTTCAAAGCCAGCCCAGGCCTGCCAAATGACAATGACAACTACAATGAAAAAATAGCCAGACATTGTGGTGGGCGCCTGTAGTCCCAGCTACTTAGGAGGCTGAGGCAAGAGAATCGCTTAAGCCCAAGAGTTTGAAGTAGCTGTGAGTTGTGATGCCATGGCCCTCTACGGAGGGCAACATAGTGAGACTCTTGTGTCAAAAAAAAAAGAAAACCATCCTAGCTGCCACCAACATGGTTGTTAAGTGAGTCCTGCCTACTATTCCCCAGTCTCAGCTGCCTTAGTTCTGTGGCAGGGCCAGCTTCATCTATACCTCATCCTGTAAGCTCTGCTCTCTCTGTCTTTTTTTTCCTCTCAGCTCTCCCATTAGGGCCCTTGTACACTGGCCTTTGTCCATCCCTCAGTATCTCATGTCTTTGCTGCAGGTTTCGTCTGCACTTTTTCCATTCACTTGTGACATTTATATTCTCAGAATCCCTTCCTTACGACCCCACCTCTGTCCCTTCCAATGTTCTCCAAGGTACACGTTAATTTTTCACAACTTTATTCTCCCTTTCTGTCCCAACCATGTCAGTGTGATTTTAGAGTACACTCTGTAATTTCATATTCACAATTTTTCACTTAAAAATCTATTGTGGGCTCGGCGCCTATAGCTCAACCGGCTAAGGCGCCAGCCACGTACACCTAAGGTGGCGGGTTCGAATCCCCAGCCCGGACCCGCCAAACAACAATGAC